TTTTTTTTTTCCATTGAAATTGCCAATATTATTTGGCATGGATATTATCTACTAGCTTAATGATTTCGTCATGATTTTCCATCGAATCAATATGTATGATACACTTTTTATATAATTAAAAAATTACAGATAAAAATTCCTTTTCAACTTAAAAAAATTTGAAACTTACTGATAACTTGCAAAAAAGAGGTACAAAGAATTTCTAGTTGTGAACAACTAGAAAAAATTTTTACTGATAAGTTGCAAGAAGAGGTACAAAGAATTTCTTTTTTTTTAAAAATTTAAATTTTATTTTTATATTCCCCATATAATTGCAACCCCCTTATTTTGACCCCAATCCCTCCTTTCCCCGCCCCCCACCCCCATAGAGTGTCTCTGGTTCATAGTTGTTTGTTGATTTTGATTTTTACTTTCTTACAGTTATTCTTTTTCCTGGTCTCTTATTTAAGTTTTCTAGATTCCTGCTATGAGTGACACCGTCCAGTATTTTTTTTTCTTTTTCTTTCTGGCTTATTTCGCTGAGCATGATCCCTTCCAGCTCCATCCATGTTGCTGCAAATTGCATGTGTTTATCTTTTTTAAATGCTGAGTAATATTCCATGGTGTATATGTACCACATCTTCTTGATCCAGTCATCTATTTTTGGGCATTTGGGTTGTTTCCAAAGCTTAGCTATTGTAAACAGTGCTGCTATAAACATAGGGGTGCAGGTGCTCTTTGGAATTGATGTTTCTGTGTCCTTTGGGTAAATACCTAGGAGTGGAATTGCTGGATCATTTGGAAGCTCTATGTTTAGTAGGTCCAGAAATCTCCACACAGCTCTCCATAGTGGTTGGACCAGTTCGCACTCCCACCAACAGTGCAAGAGAGTTCCTTTTTCTCCACAACCTCGCCAACATTAGTTGTGGCTAGTTTTTTTAATATGTGCCATTCTCACTGGTGTCAGATGGTATCTCATTATAGTTTTGATTTGCATTTCCCTGATTCCAAGTGATGTTGAACATTTTTTCATATGCCTGTTGGCCATTTGCATTTCCTCTTCAGAGAAGTTTCTTTTTTGGTCTTCTGCCCATTTTTGGACTGGATTATTTTCTTTGTTTTTGTTGAGTTGCATCAGCTCTTTGGTACAAAGAATTTCTATATAGTCTTCAGCCAACTTTACCTATTATTACATTTTATAGTTGCTTTTAAATTTCTCTCCCTCCCTCTTCTTTTCCCTCCCTCCCTCCATATACACACTCACATTTTTTTTCTGAATTACTTCAGAGTAAGTTGCACACATTATGTTCTTTTGCCCCCAGTACATCAGCATTGCCTAAGAACTTTTTTTTAAAATGATTTATTTAGGGCCTCCCCGGTGGCGCAGCGTTTGAGTGCTAGGTTGCGAAGCTGCCCGCAGCCTCTGCAGCGCCGGTTTGATCCCTGGCTGCTCCCCGGCCACCAGAGGAGGGTCCCACATGGCGCGCAGACCTCTCCTGCCGCCCGCTGCTCCCCTCAGCAGTGTACTTTGGTCCTTCTGCCTGCTCTGCTCCCCGCTCTGGCTCTGGTGAATTCTCTCACCCTTCCGCGCTTCTGACTGTACCCAGTGCTTGTATAAATAAATAAATAAATAATCTTTTAAAAAAAAGATGTATTTATACAAGCACTGGGGTACAGACCTGATGTGCGGGAGGGTGAGAGGATTCACTAGAGACAGAGTGGGGAGCAGAACAGGCAAACTGACAGAAATACACTGCTGAGGGGAGCAGCAGGCACGATAGGAGAGGTCTGCCATGCCATGTGGGTATCTTGCCGGCCGGCTGGGATAGAATCTGCACTGCAGAGGCTGTGGACCGCTTCACAGCACGGCGCTCAACTGCCTGCGCCACCAGGGAGGCCCTACCCAAGAACTTTTTTAAAAATATAATTTATATGTATATATTTTTTACATCATTGTTCATTTTTGTACAATGTTTGCTTTTTCCTCTCAGGTGAAGAGGAGGGATTTCCATAGAATTCTCACTGCCAGTTCACGAGTGCACCATTGCCATAGTCCCTTGTGCTCTTCCCTCTCCTGCAGAGTGTCTCTGGTTGTCTGTTAACTTTTTTTTTTGGTAAATATTTATTTATTTATATACAAGAACTGGAGTGTAAGCCAGAGGTGCAGGGTGGTGAGAGGATTCACCAGAGATTGTGGGGAGCAGAACAGGCAGATCTACTGAAATACACTGCTGAGGGGAACAGTGGGCGAGGCAGGAGAGTTCTGCTGCACCATGTGGATTTCTCCCTGGCCTGCCGGGCATCGAACTCATGCTGCAGTGGCTAGCGATAGCTTGATGGTGCTGTCTTTAACCCCTGCACCACCAGGGAGCCCCTAATTTTGTTTTTTTAATTATTGTTATTTTTTTCCTCTGACCCCCTTTTTTTTTTTGGTTTGCCTGTATTCCTCCTATAAGTGAAACCATCTGATTTTTTTGTTTTTCTTTCTTACTTCGCTGAGCATAATCCCGTCTAGCTCCATGTTGCTGTGAATGGCATGAGTTTATCTTCCATTGTGTATATGTACCACATCTTCTTGATCCAGTCATCTATTTTGGGGCATTTGGGTTGTTTTCATATCTTACCTATTGTAAATAGTGCTGCAGTAAACGTAGGGGTGCAGGTATCCTTTTGAATTAATGGTTTTGTGTCCTATGGGGTAGTTTCCTCGGAGTAGAATTGCTGGGTCATGTGGGAGCTCCATTTTTAGTTTGAGGAACCTCCACACCACACAGCTTTCTGTAGTAGTTGGACCAGTTTGCCTTCCCACTAGCACTGTAGGAGAGATCCTTTTTCTCCTCATTCTTGCCAACATTTGTTGTTGCTAGTTTTTTTGATATGTGTCGTTCTCACTGATGTAAGGTGGTATCTCATTGTGGTTTTGATTTGTTTTCCCTGATTTAGTGGATAGTGCATTGGATGCATTGGACTTCTAAGAACTTTTTTTTTTCTAAGAACTTCTTTCAAAAAATAGATTGTTAGAGCCACGTGAGTAAACTCTTAATTTACTTTCTCATATCTCTTTAGCAAATGACATTGGAGAGGGATTTGGTGCTAGATCTACAGCTTAAGTAAAATATTTTCTCATCAGTATTTTTCTTGGACCATTTGTTACTTCCTCTCCTGGCTTTGTTCTTTTTGGCTCTCACTTATAGTTTCTGACACACCTAGAGCAAGTGTGAGAGCTTATTGCCTTACTCTACATAATGATATCATTCAAAGCTGGAACTTTTTTTTTCTGTTACTGACTTTCCCCTATTTGCTACCTGAATTTAGGGGTGTGTGTCATAGGGCAGGGTGAGTTTCAGTAATATCCTAATACTGAAAACCCCGCCTTCCTGCCAAGTCCTTTTGTCTGTGAGCAAAATGGAGGCTTGGTGCTTGTCATTCCTTTGCTGCAGTTGAGCTCAAGGAATGCTGCATAGCTTGTTGGAAGTTGCTTAGTCGCTTCAAGTGGGGTGTGTATAAAGGTGTATGTAGAGAATTGAGGGTCTTGTAGTCAGTATGGGAGACGTGGGATCCTTCTTGGTGTGATATTGACCATCAGGTATCATCATTATTGAGTGCCTCCTCATGAATAGCACTGTGACAGGAACTTTGGTATAGTATAATAAAATGAACAACTAAATCAAAATATAATAGTCAAACAATTCTAACTCTGCCACTTACCAACTTTCATTTGGGTGAGTAAAAGTCTTTAAACCTGACTCTTATCTATTCTTTTATAAAATGAAACTATTAATAATTACATGATAGGGTTGTTGTGAAAATTAAAGGACATAAGAATAGTAATTAGCAATAGTAATTAGCACTGGTTTGACATGTTAGTATTTTATTTTATACATTCATAGTCAGGATATATGATAGACACCATATAAAGCAAACACAGAGTAATAAAAACAAATAGAGAATAATGACACTGCAGTATATAGTCAAATATTTTAATTGTGACATGTAGATTATAAACAGTCTGGGAATTTGGAGAAGGGAAAGAACAGTCTTGTGCAACCATTTAATATTCCTGTGCCATAGTTTTTTTAGTGGGCATGCTATAGGTAATGCTAGGTTGTTTTCTCAGAGAATGATTCAGATGCTACAGCATTTTTGCTTTTTTGAGGTTGTCTATATGATGGTGGGAAGGTAAGGAGAAGCTTCGAGAACTATTGGAAACCAAATTTAACACTCAAAATTCTTAATTTTTTCCTTATATGGGCATGGCAGCCATTTAGGAAAACTTGAAGCTGGAAATTAGAAGCATTTCCTTCCAAGGAAGGTTTTTGCTTTGCTTTTTCTCCTTGTTGCTTCACTGTCTTTAATTAGTTGAAAACTAATGTTGGTCAATGGATGGCCTCTGATTGTAAGTCCCTTGGATATGTTCTGAGGATTAAGTGATTTGTAACCCAAATTATCCCTTTTAACAGACAAACAAACTGGAGAAGATTTAGTTCTTTTGGATTGTTTGTTAAAGAACGTATGGTTTACTCACCATGAGTGTTCCTTGGGGATGGGACATTTTCAGTCAGAAAGGTAACTTGGCCCTCCCATCTTTAAAATGGTTTTCATAACTTTTAAAGGTGTAAAACATATCATTAAAATTTTCTTTACTAACAATATCCAAAAGAAACTGAATTCTTAGCTTGATGTGTGCTTACTTGGTAAATTTTTTTTTGTTAGTTTGACTTTGGAAAGTTTGTTTTTGGTTTTTATCTCTGCCCAGATCAAATCTTTCCTCCTTTTAGAGAAATTGTAGAGTTCACATGAAAGTAAAGCTGCTCATACCCATTTTTTTTTCACCCTCTTTAGTTTGAATGTTTCTCCTTTTTGATAGGGTTTTTTTTTTTTTAATTTGGCATTGTTTGCCAACGTTTCAAGTTTATAGTGAGAGGTGAGGTAACACTGGACTTGGCAGAACAGCACAAAGCCAGTATAGTCATTTAAATGACGCAAACATTTGATTTTTTTTTTTTTTCTTTCTCTTAAAGCTCTCTGGCACAGCTGGCTATTCTAGTCACATAGGAAAAGAAAAGAAACTTTCTGAAGTTCTGTATGCAATAGAAGATGTTTGGGGCATATTAAAAAGCAGCAGCAGCAAAACCACCACATATTTTAAGGAACTTTCTTCATTTTTGCGGAACCTATGTCAGTTTTTTAGAACTGGAGTTTTTACTTCAGAGGATGATGGGACAAATGAAGAGAAAGAGAGGAGTATTGCATTGGATTCTTGTTTATCCGTCTGCTTCTCCCTCCAGTTGGAAAAATCTCCAGTCCACAAGAGGATTATAAACAAGTCTCAGGGACACATCCTGCCCTGATCCCTGGATGCTGTTGGAGTTAAGGAGTACAGCCACTTCGTCAGGACTTTATGGAGGAGGCAGTTCAAGAAAAATAGAAGGAAGCAATACTTAAGAATTGCTCTATTTGTGATAGTCCTGTGTCATGTTAAACCTAGGTACTGTTTGGAACAAGTGGAAGATGGCTGTGTCATGTGCATCTAAGAGGATACCTGACTTCCTTGAGCTACGTATATGATGTTTAGAAAGTTGTAAACAAAATCTTTCAACATAAATTCACTAAATTCTGGATTCTCTTTCTATTAAGAACTTCAGCAAACAGAATCCCCCTCCCTAAAAGGTATAAAACCTCTGAGTTCCAACGCTATTTGTGAACAATAATGTCTTGGAAGAAAAATTATTTTTCAGGGGGCCGTGGTAGTGTCCAAGGGATGTTTGCACCTCGAAGCTCAACCTCCATAGCCCCTAGCAAAGGCCTCAGCAATGAGCCAGGGCAAAACAGCTGCTTTCTCAACAGTGCCCTGCAGGTAAGAGTAATTTATTTCTTTTGTGAACTTTGACTTTTAGTTGCTAATGCTATATTTTGATCATTTTCTATAATACTTGACAGTCAGCAACCTGAGATGATTTTTTTATCTGTGTGATTTTAGGCAAGTCACTTTACCTATTTGGGTCTTAGTTACCTTATTTGTAAAACAGGAGATTAATAATGACAATAGAAAAAGTAGTTAACTACTACTATTTACTGGCCCAGTGGGAGCTACAGGAACTAGATGGTCATCCTACTTGTTTATTAACTTTTTCCCTAACAGTCTCTTTTGAATCCTTTTGATGCCAAGGTGTCTTATTACCCTAGTTACTTTTTTTCCAGTGAAAAAAGCAAGATTCTTTCCACAAGTTACAGATATTGAGGTATATTTTCTTTTCTCTTAATACTGAGTCTCTTAACTTACTAAGTGGAGTTTAGTCTTTGAATTTTAACATCATCATCTCCTCCTTCCTCTGAACTTTTCAGGTATGCTTAAACAGAGCTGGTGGAAAGTAAATACCCCTATGGTGATTATCTAGTCTAGATTTTCTTTTTTGGTGTTGCTTGCCACCTTTGTGGTCTCAGAATCCCAAAACTTCCTGTCTGCATGCTGTGCATAGGCCCATAGGGTGTTATCCCCCTTGGTCGAATTTTCAAGTAATTACTTTCCCCACTTTTCAGAGTAAAAGTAAATGAAATTTTCCTCTCAAGATAAGTATGCTTGGGTAAAATATTAGCTTTGTACTTCAAATGCAATGAGAAAATAGGATACTGTGAAAGAAGAAAAGACACAGCAATGTATTTGGTATTAAAAGTGCTATGCTTAGGAGATAGGAGTCTTGTGACCTTATACACATGGTATTTCAGTTTCTTCATATATAAACAAAAGAATTTTGTCAGGCTTGTCTATGTATAAAAGTTCTATCCTCTCAGTTTTCAAATTTTTATTGGAAACATTAGAAATACTTATGCTGTCAAGACTATAAAAAAGTTGTGTACCTTCCTTAATATACTACAACACATTTCACGCAGTTGGGTGGGGGGATGGAAGGTTGGTTGTCAACCCCAGATGATGCATATTAGGTTTTTTAGTGACTTTACATAATTTGACAACACTTTTATAATTTAGAAGCAGGCAAAACAGGGTATGGATATAGGAGTGTGTGTGTGTGTGTGTGTGTGTGTGTGTGTGTGTGTGTTTTCCTCCTTCTGGCCATAATTCTCTTTTTATAATTCTTTAACTCTATTTCTTTCTATAGGTCCTGATTATATTATTAATTGAAACAATAATATTTATGAATTTCTTTTCTAATTTCCAGTGCCTATATGGAATACATACTTTACATATACACATATACATTTCTGTATTTATACTTAAAGATTAAGTCACTTGTGGTTTTGGGTTGACTTATAATCATGTTACAAATTGAAAATAATTGTTTCTACACTAATACTCTAATCTTTGATTCAAAAGCTGTGTTCTCCACCGATGTGTAGAACCCATTTCATTTGATGTAAAAAGGTGTTATTTATTTAGAAGTAGACTGTATTTCAAAGATATTTTAGAGTGTATACCTTGAAATATACATAAATAAGAACTCCAGGGGTATGCTGTGATCTGGGACTCTGAAAGTGCATGCTTTCTCATGTATGACACTATTTAAATGTCTCCTACAGCATTATTCCTTACATTCCACCATTTCTTTTTTAATGCCACAGTTTATTTACAGTTTATTCAGAGTTCCTTCATTTTTACCTAATGTCATGTTGTCTTTCCATAATCCCATCTGGGAAACCATATTTACATTTACTTGTCAAATGTCCTTGGGCTTCTTTTGGCTATGATAGTTTCTCAGTCTTTCCTTGTTTTTGATGGCCTTAACAATATTGAGGAGTACTAGTCTTTTGTAGGATGCCCCAGTATTGTAGTTTGTCTGATATTTTTCTCATGATTAGAGTGAGATTGTAGATTTTGAAATACCATAAAAGTATAGTGCCATTTTCATCACATCATATTAAGTTTACATACTGTGAACATGACTTATCAATTTATCAGTTTTACAATTTTTTTATTCTCTTGATTTAAGGAGGCCTTAACACTTAGAAATGTCCAAAAATTGAGGAATCTAACAAAAACAAAAGTTCACACTATAATTCAGGCTTATAATGTTTTAAAATATTATTGCTTTTCTTGCATGAATTATTAAGGTAAACCCTTATTCTACAGCTTTTAGTTCATTTTTTCTTCAGAATCTCATTTGAAATATGTCAAATCGTATTTCCTCCGTGTGACCTTCCTTCATGTTCAAATTAATGTCTATTTCAGAATATAGCCGTATACTTCATCTTTTTGACACTTGTTTTAATCTAGAATGAGCTGTGTCTTAAGAATAAACTGTAATCGTTATCTATGTTTGAACTCTTGGAATTTAAAATTAAATAGTGACTTCTTTCAGAGTGATGAAGTATTTTCTCTTTTTTCCAGGTTTTATGGCACTTGGACATCTTCCGACGTAGCTTTAGGCAGCTTACAACTCACAAGTGCATGGGAGATTCCTGCATCTTTTGTGCTCTCAAGGTAAGTACTTCAAATTTGTTTCTTCTCACTGCAAAGTGGTCAGTATTGAGGTGGTTCATTTAACCAGGTTGATACTAAAGAATTTTTTACTGAATATACCCATGGTTTAGTGCAAAGGATGAATGTGATTAATTTTCTGATCCAGAGATTTTAGTTGTGCTTAAAAAAAGGAAGAGCTGGGATATATAAAGGGCCCATTCTTCATTAATTTACCTGCTTCTCCAGTATGTAGCTTTTCTGTTTTGTTTTTGTTTTTTCCCCAGATAGACAATGGATTATTTGTAGTTGGATGAGTATGCCTAAGTTCTGAGTAAGCTTCCAGAGTTATTTTTCAGTCTCATGAAGCCTGAATTCTTGGTTTGTTACAGTCATGCTTGGGTATATTTAATTTAGTTGCTTTTGCATCTTAGTGTAGGAGAATTTCCCAATTATATTGGTTATTTGCAATTACTCGCCCAAAACATTTTCTTGACCTGGATAACTTCAGCATTTTTCAGTCCCTACAGGCAGGTATCTTTAGAAACAGATAACTGAATCTTCTGAACGTTTTGCCAGTTACATAACAAACATCTTTTTTTTCCCCCTACTCTTTGAAACCATTGTGACTTTTACTTTTAGCAAAATACAGAATGTAAGTTATTGGTTAGTTGGAGAATTTAAATAAGTGTTAAAAAGTAAAATCTTTTAGTTGTTTGTATCATCTTCTGACTGTTCCTGTTCAGAATAAGTCCATTCAAAAGAGCATTTGGGGGCCTCCCTGGTGGCACAGGGGTTAAAGTCTCAGTGCTATCAAGCTACCCCCAGCCACTGTGGCATGAGTTTGATCCCAGCCAGGGAGCTAACTCACATGGCCCAGCAGATATATCTCCTGTCTAGACCATTGCTCCCCTCAGCACTGTATTTCAGTAACTCTACCAGTTCTGCTCCCCACTCTATCTCTGGTGAATCCTCTCACCCCCTGCAGCTCTGACCTATACCTCAGTTCTTATATGCATAAATAAATAAAAATATCAAAAGAGCATTTAGCTTGATTTTCTGAAAGGTACATTGACAGAAAAATCTGGTTTAGGATAAACAAGAAATACAGTCCCTTGGTCAGCAAGTACAAAGGAAGTTTGGTTCATGGCATTGAAACTAGAAAACCAAGACAAGATACTTGGTAGAGAGTTATGAGTTCTGGAGAAATCTCTGGTAGAAGAATCTCCTGAAATTGTAAACTCTTACCTGATCCAGGAAGGGATGGTAGAACTTTTATATGAACCCCCTGACATGTCTTTGATTAGTCAGAACTATGCCATACTCTTCATTCACCTTTGTGAGACTGAAAACTGGTTGTCACAGTCTTATAATGTTTCATTTTCCAGAGAGATAAATTTTTATTTTTATATAAATCAATATTATTGTATAAACCAGAGAGACAAAAGCAACCCCTAGACTTTACGGGACACTTTTTAAGACACTGAAGTACAGAAAGGAAGCTGTTTTTCAACCTACAGGAGCTGGGACTATATCTTGTGACTCTTCCGCAGAAGCAGTTGCTTATAATAGGTAAATGGGCTTAGGGGATCAAAGGTTGTATTTTGGGTCTTCAGAATCCTGAGATGTGTTGAAATTCTGGTACTTTCCACATTACTTCATGTCACTGTTTTATCTTGCCCTTAGATTTACTTTCCTTCCTGCCTCTTTTGCTATATTGGGAGTGATACAAATTTTGCTTTTTTCATCCATCCAAAGTATATTTCAGTGCCTCAGTGTTATATAATTGCTAAATTATTAGGGTCTAATTTGCACATAGTTAATGTTTTAAATGGCATTGTTTGCATTCTTTAATTATGTGCTTAATTTGAAAACTATAGGTAGAGTTACAGTGCAGATAATTTACTTTGATTGTATGAGCTGAACTTGATTCTAATAATTGAGAAATTAAAATTGTTGGAATTACTTTTGTTTCCAAGAGATATTCCTTTATCTAGACTGAAGGCTTCATTTTCTGAGAGAATACACGAGATTATGAGTGTATGAAGGAGTAAACCTGGATGGATATCACTACCTGGACCCTCCTCTAGAATGTCTCTTGTTCGCCACTTAAAATTTTTTTTAATTTTATGATTCACCGTTGGTTTACAAAACTATGTAAGTTTCAGAGGTGTAGCTATATACCTCTATGAATGTATGTACTATAATACACCCACCACCAAAAATCTAATACCATTCACTACTATCAAATTCACTCCCTCTACCCATTTATCTCCCCTCCTCCCCCTCCCTCTCTGGTAATCATTTTTTTTTTTTTTTTTCAGAGTCTAAGAGGAAAAATACTTTGATAGAATATGAAGGAATACAATTCATCATTATAGTAGGTCCTAGTCGGTATAAGACAAGAAAAACTTGGAAAGATAGAAGGATTAAAAAGGAAGAAACAAAGTTGTCATAATTTGTAGATGATGTGCTTGGCTATTTAAAAAAAAATCCCAAAGAATCTGTTGCTAAACCAGTAGACTCAAGACAATTTAGCATTTTGTTGCCTATAAGATGAAGGTGTAACATTACATTAAATTTTTATATACTATTAACAGAAAATTCAATTTAAGAAGAGTTTTTATATTAGCAACAAAATATGTAAAGTAGATATGAATAAATTTAACAAAAAGGAATAAGACATTTATGTTAAGCCTTCACAGATTCACTATAATAAATAATCTAAAGTACGCGACTTTTTTGGTCAAAACAGAGCAGTACTGATACCACAGACATCTTCCCTTTTTGTCAGTTGTATCTCCTCCTTTCTCCCAGGGGTAACATCTTTCCTAATAATTGTGGTAATAACTTTCTTGTTTTATCTGATTATTTTTTTACATATGTATTCATTCTTCAGCAATCTAATTTAAAATGACCTATTTTTGAAACTGTTGTAAATGGAATCATTCTATGTAAGCATATGTGTGTGTGTGTCTTCTTTAGTTCAGCAGTATTATGTGTCCATTTTCATTATCATGTTGTATTTCATTGTGCAATGCATGGTTTATTCTACTGCTGATAGTTATCTGGGTTGTTTCTAGCTTTTGATTTTTTTTTTTTTTTTTTTGCATAGAAGAAGGGGTGGGGGGGAAAGGTGAGAGGATTCACCAGAGTCAGTAGGGAGCAGAACAGGTGGATTTACTGAAATACACTGGTAAGGGTAGCAGCGGACTAGACAGGAGAGGTCTGTTGCACTATGTGGGTTAGCTCCCTGGCTGGGTATCGAACTTGTGCTGTAGTGGTGATAGCACTGAGGGAGGCCCCTCTAGTTTTTAGATTTTTTGTGAACAGTATTGCCAAGAATATTCTGGTACATATCTGCATTTGTGAACATATTTCTTTTTTTTTTTTTTTTAATTATTTTTTTAAAGATTTATTTATTTATACAAGCACTGCTACAGTCAGAAGTGTGGGGAGGGTGAGAGAATTCACCAGAGCCATAGCGGGGAGCAGAGAAGGCAGAAGGACCGAAGTACACTGCTGAGGGGAGCAGCGGGCGGCAGGAAAGGTCTGCGTGCCATGTGGGACCCTCCTCCAGTGGCTGGGGAGCAGCCGGGGATCGAACCAGTGCTGCAGAGGCTGCAGGCAGCTTCGCAACCCAGCTCTCAACCACTGCGCCACCGGGGAGGCCTTGTGAACATATTTCTTTTACATAAATGCCCAGGAATGGAATTACTGGATCACAGGATATCCTATATGTTCAACATTTTTAGATAATGGCAACTATTTTCCAATGTGGTGGTACTAATAGATGCTTTGACCAGCAGGTTTTTTCTGAAAGTTCAGAAGTCAGTTCTGAAATTCATATGACAAACAATGAAGAATAGATAGTATATTCTTGAAAAATAATAACAAAATGAGTGATTTGCCTGTATATCAGTTAGAGTAGGCTAAGTATAGTAGGCTAATGTGTGGTAATAAACAACCCTGAAGTGTTAGTAAAAAATAAAAGATTTAGTTTTTGCTTACGTTATTTGTCCACTGCAGGTTTGTAGGAACACCCTTTTGATTATAGTCACTCAGGAAGTCAGATGCCTAAACTGTAACCAAGTTGAGTATCACTGGTCTCTAAGCCAGAGGGGAACAAGCTCTGGAGGATTTTACATAGGCAATTACATGCTCAGCAGATCACTTCTGCTCACAACTCATTGATCAGAGCATATGACCTTAGCGGATCATAAGGGTACTGGGAAGTGTGATCCTTTCATAAATTTTGGGGGAGGGCAGAAACTCATATTCCTACCTCAGACTATACCAAAAGTTAGAATTTCAAATGAATTAAGGAGTAAAATATCAAAAACATCATTTAAAAACTTTTAATAGAAATCACAAGAGAATATTATGACCTATGGAATAGAGATGATTATTAAATAAAACATGAAAAGTATAAAGTTGAAAAAAATGGATACTTCTCATCAGAAGACACTACAAAGAGAGTAATGACACAGTGCTATACACTGGGAGAAAATATCAACAATATATAATAAAAAAAAAGAATTGGGGGCCTCCCTGGTGTCGCACGGGGTTAAGATGCAGCCTATGAAGCAGTCCGCAGCTACTGCAACACAAGTTCGAACACCGGCCAGGGAGCAACCCACATGGCGCAGCAGACCTCTTCTGACTCGCCCGCTGCTCCCCTCAGCAGTGTATTTCAGTCAATCTGCCTGTTCTGTTCCCCACTCTGTCTCTGGTGAATCCCCTCACCCCCCCACACCTCTGGCCTGTACCCCAGTTCTTGTATGCATAAATAAATAAATCTTAAAAAAAAAAAGAATTGGTATCCATCATAGTTCTGGAGAAGAATGCCTATAAAGGATAATTAAAAGATAAATGAAACAACAGGAAAATGGACAAAAGACATAAACAGGCATTTTGTAGACTGAATGACCTGTGAGTATATGAAAGATGCTTACTCTTGTTGGTTGTCAAAAGCATATAAGTTAAACCAGTTCAGGTAAGCAGAAATTTAAAAATTAGAAATG